GAAAACTGAGGGGAGAAATGATAACAGTCTTCAAATCAGCTGCACCGAAGAGGTGAACAAATTGCTCATGGCTAGGGAGGATGGAACAGGAAAGATTGGTCTTCTGTTGCAGACCCTCTCCTGATTTTGCACTTTTTTTTAATAGAGAGAAACTGTGCCTGTACAAAACCACAGTGAATTCAGTGTAGTTCTCAGTTTGTCTGTGTAGAGAGTTTGTGGAGACTTCCAAAATCTTTAAGATAGTTATGAACAATTAAAGCAGACAAACGAACAGGTCATAACGGATTTTTACACACTATTCCCTTATTTTACTGTAAGGATTTCCTTCTTTTCACAGTTAGTACACAGCGTACTGTTTGTTTGGCTTTTGTGTACTTTCCATTTGATAGTCATGACATCAGATTCCTCCAAAAAGAACATGTACTTCTTTCAGCGTCAGGAAGAGATTTTCCATGTAAAATTGAGTTTTCATTGAACATATTAAGTTTCTGCCTCTTTTTGAGATTTCCTCTTTAAACATTGTTTTATCTGCTTCCAAAAATTATTTAGCAGCATCACCAATGTGCATAAACTTCCCAAGATAATGTAAACCAGATTCTGTCTCATCTTGCTGTTTTTAAATTTCTTCAGTGCTATTAACCACTCATTTCATTCTTCCTGCCTCATACTGCCATCTTGTACATGGATGAAACATATTTACACTTCAATAAACAGGGAAGTCATCCTTGCAAACACCAACATTTTTACTGAGAAAGAGTGAAAGGGAACTCTGGGGAGTACTGTGGATAGTATTGTTCAGCATACCTACACTGAATAGGCCCTTCTATATTAAGGAGTATTAAATTAAGGAGCTTCCCAGCCATATCACCTTTTCTTGTCTTCCCAGCTCATTGCCTGGTCCTCTGCACCTCATGATTTGAACCAGTGTACTACTCTGACTGAATTGCTCTAAGAAAATACAGTCTCATCAGCCTATATTTGTCTTCTTTCAGATTCAACACTTAGAATTAGTTAGGGCTCCACCTTTTCCTACATTTCTGTCAACATTCATCTTATGACTTGCATGCATCTGGAGCATCAAAAATGCTCTGTCCCATATAGGTCTCTTCCCACTCACTCCATACCTAAAAATACTACCTGCAGAGTGCTGAGGAATTTTAACATGCCCTCATATATGTTCCAAGAGGAACCTTTTTCCATTTTCATCATATCCCTCTGAACATCCCACAGTCTGTAACATATTTTGTTTAGTGTAAGCATAATGAATATAACTTCAGAGCAGGCAAATACTGAATAGGTAGCTGTAATAAAGGTAGATGGTAGTGATAAAGAGAGATGGAAATGGCAAGTTTTCTCCTTCTGGATTTTGACTACTGACATTTATGTGATTAGGTATATATGTGGGCTGCAAAAGGTTTCTGTGAGTATTTAGTTAAAATCCCTAACTATTTTCTAATGTATTTGTAAAATAATACAGTCCTTTCAAATTTTATAACCAACTGCAGCAACAAATCAGTGTATCTTTGGATTTTGTTATGTTTCTGTAGTAAATCTTAACTCCAGAGCTAGTCAAACACCATTATTATGTGGTGATGCAATGCAAGGAAGGCAGCTGAATCATAATTTTAAATTCTTCGTACCTTATCAAACAGGCAGAGAAAATAAACACATACTCAGTTTACTCTCAGTAAACTCTCATACTCACATACTCGCTGACAGTGCACTGACATATGAAAGAATCTAGCATAAGAGACAGTGAAGGTCTGGGTCTGCTTTGATATTTAAAGAAGAATGTCAGTGTGAAATATAGCAACCACTAACAACAGGATCAAAGAAGTGCTTTAACCACCTATACACACATGAACTACTTTTGTTTCAGTACTAAGATGAACAGATCTAATTAGCTACAAGGAAACTGGGTAAATGTCTTGAACCATGCCCTGAAGCCCCATAGCCCCCAGTGCTGACAGTGAGTCCCCACGGGCAGGGCTTCAGTAAAGCCCTCAAGTTTTACAAAATGCCAGCACGTAGGTCAGATGTCAAAGTTAAGCCCCAGATTAGTCAAGGTGGTTCTTTGACTGAGGAGCTACAACCACAAATATTTTACACCTCTTGAGGAAAGGGGATCTATTTGTGTCAGTCAACAACTAAGCAAGATGATCATTCCGTGTTTCTGCTCATGCACTATGTGATGCGGAATCAGTAATCACCACTCTGCTGTGCCTGGGAAATGAGTTTTTGCTAGTCGCCTGATGAGAATCTCATTGCATTCAGATGCATTAGTGTAGACAGCATGTGGGGCAGAATGGAAAACAGCGGAGAAGTGACATCCCCTGCGAAAAACAGTCTATGACCAATCTGTAGTCAAAGATGTGCATTAGGGTGTGCCTATGGTACGTTTTATTTTGGATCAGGAGTGCACTTCTGAAGCGGATCTTTCCAACACCCCCACTTGCTGTGCTTTGGTTCTTAATGCAGAGAGGTCTTGCCATGCACAAACTAGACTTCTGTCAGATGAAACTAAACCAGAAGCTGTGTTCCAGAAGCATGACCAGCACTCTTCAGCTGCTAGTGGGCATTTGGTCAGCTGGACAGATCACCTGAAAAGCATGCAGCGCAGATATCAACTTTTCAGCACCAACTACTGTGTCTGCTACTTGCTAACTGAGGCACAGCCTCAAGCTGAGAGGCTCAGTGGCAGTGACAGTGTAGCTGTGCCAGTGCAGAGCTTATTCTCCCTCAGGCACTCCACCTGAGCTCTGGGCTGGCTTTGGAACCAGCACCAAACTCTTTGCATAGGTGCTATGCCATATACCCGGAAACACAGCACTGTGGAGTTTAATCCCGTGTGTGTTTACACAGGCCGCTGTCAGCCTCCTGCTTGCAGTATATCAGTATCTACTAATTATTTTTCTTCCACATGCTGGCACTTGGGAGGCCACAAATTTCACTGTTCCAATTTACAAATTTTCTAGGGACTACTGTAGCAGCGACACCATTTGGGACAGGTCCTGAATGCAAACAATTTTAGAGCAGAGAAGGTAACAGGTCAGTGTCAAAGGCAAAGTAATTTGCTAGACTGGGATCCCTCTTCCCTGTCTTGGTAGGCAACGGCTTGGGAAAGACATTCGCGTTTGCTGAATTCGCTTGGTGCAGCTCCTTACCGTTCAAAGCCAAGGGTGCCTTCACGGGTGCCAAGCACTGCACCTGTACTGCTAACACAAAGGAAACCAGAAGTATTACAAGTGCCTTACAGTGTCATGTTTCTGCTCAGCACATTTAACACCTCACAGATGAAGGACCAACGATCCGCTGTCAAAACCCCCTGAACGCCCACTGTTTTGGCTACCGCACCCGCTTGTGGGCTCCTCGAGGAACTCCCCCGTGCACACGGACTGGCTGAAGCCAAAACCCGGGCTACTTGGCCCCTTACAGGTAAGCCCTGCTCCTGTTCGGCGAGGCCGAGCCCCCGAGGAGCCCACGGGCCTTCCCACCCCAAGCAACGGGCACCGCGACCCCTCCGGCATTTGTAGCCACCCGAAACCCAGCCAGGGGTCCGGGGCTCACCCTGGCGGGCCCCCGTACCCAAGAAGGAGGAAAACCCGCTGTGAAGACCGCCGCGGGGTCTGAGGGCGGGCGGCTGCCACCGCACCCCTCCCAGCGCCCACCTCAGCCCAGGCAGGCTCCCCCACGGCCGCGCGCCTGACGGCCTCCCCCCGCCTCGCCCCTCCCATCCACCCTCCAAAGTTAAGCAGGGCCAGCCCCGGCCGCGGCTCGGAGGGGGGACCCTACCGCCGCC